TATTTTGAGTCAACCTTTTGTAACCCTAACAGAACAACACCCCGGCCTTAACCAACCGGCGGGCTTGTTGCATTAAGTTAAATATTGACTAAATAATTATTGATTTAGGTCTAGATTCTAGGCAGTTTTAAATGACACCACCAGCACAAATCACACATCCTACAATTGGCAATAGGCCTAATCGATAATTAATAGGTTGGGTTTAGCTTACTAAACAAGGTATACAGAAGCATTAGTTTGTGAGATTTATCATTCTAACCTGCTTGTTTTAATTAATGGTTTAATATTTCAATCCCAATCAACCTTCAATTCTCTGAGGTTAAATATCTAGATAAAGATGAGTTACCTCGCTAGATAAAGTTACCTCGCTAGATAAAGATGAGTTACCTCGCTAGATAAAGATAAGTTACCTCGCTAGATAAAGTTACCTCGCTAGATAAAGACGAGTTATCTCGCTAGAAAAAGTTACCTCGCTCGATAAAGATGAGTTACCTCGCTAGATAAAGTTACCTCGCTAGATAAAGATATGTTACCTCGCTAGATAAAGATGAGTTACCTCGCTAGATAAAGATGAGTACCTCGCTAGATAAAGATACCGCGCTAGATAAAGTTACCTCGCTAGGCCCCAGAGACAAATTACAACACTATCACCTCAGCGTAACCATGGCAACGCTTGTCCCTCGAGCTCAAAATGGCGTCGCTCTTCTACCTTTAGCCGAGGGAATCTGGGCGAGCCCTGGTCAACAATCACCTAGTGTAGTGTGGGGGAGGGTGGGGGTAAACAACCGTACTGTCGGACAGTTAGCGAAGACAGGACAGTACTGTGGGACAGTGTGAGGGTGGGGATGTTTACGAGGTGGTAACGAATCCAATAACACAAGTTCAAATATAAAATGTTCTTTATTGAAATTATAAAATCAAGTTCTACCTAATTAACTAGCTTATTCTATACTCTCTACTACTACTACTGTCTGCCGTTTCCTAGATCTACCTATCTGACCGTTCTCTTCACTAATTATCAACTGTTATCTAGCCCTACACATCTCGACCGTCTCTGACCGCTTCCTAACACCTACTCCACTCTTCACTAGCTACCTATCAACTGCCGCTAATCTCTCTACTGACCCACGCCTCAGCGGTCAGCTGACCATCCCACGTGACCGGCCAGTTCCCGTATTTTTATTGGTCTCTCCCTGACCAACTCGCTATAGCCTGCTTCTGCTATCTACCTGACCTCTCCGACGCAACCTTGCGTCACCACAGACAGTTAGTGAGGACAGGACGGAGGTGATATTGGGGAGAGTTATGAGATGCAGTGGCGTAGCGAGGTCGGGTGTCACCCGGTGCGGCACTTAATGGTGTCACCCCCCCCCCCCCCCAGAGGCATAGAGACCCTTCCCAGGGACAAACTTTAAAATTTTCGATTTGCACCTCCCCCCCTCAAACTTTCGATTTGCACCCCCCCCCCTCAAGTTTTCGATTTGCACCCCCCCCCCCCTCAAACTTTCGATTTGCACCCCCCCCCTCGAGTTTTTCTCTATATATTTTGCTATTTTTTGCCTTCGTGTCACCCCCCTAAATGGTGTCACCCGGTGCGGTCCGCACCCCCCGCCCCCCCTCGCTACGCCCCTGATGAGATGCACACCGGGGTCAGCCTTTGAACGTGTCGTCTGCCCGGATACTGCACGGATTTAAAAAAAAACCCAGCGTGCACTCAGGGTCATGGGTTTCAGATGGACCGTGGCATTCCTTGGGTGGGGCAGGTGCTGCAGGGGCCAACTTCCGGTCACAATACATCTACAGGCAAATACATCAACAGGTAAACACATCAACAGGTAAACACATCAAAAGGTAAACACATCAAAGGGTAAATACATCTACAGGCAAATACATCAACAGGTAAACACATCAACAGGTAAACACATCAAAAGGTAAACACATCAAAGGGTAAATACATCTACAGGCAAATACATCAACAGGTAAACACATCAACAGGTAAACACATCAAAAGGTAAACACATCAAAGGGTAAATACATCTACAGGCAAATACATCAACAGGTAAACACATCAACAGGTAAACACATCTACAGACAGGGAAACACATCAACAGAAAACACATCAACAGATAAACACATCAACAGATATGGTGCTGTGTTGACTAATTATGTATATAATTTGGTTTGATTTTTTGTATAGGTATTAGTAGCCTATGTTATTTTAAATGTGTCGGACTTTAGGCTATTTAGTTATTTCTTTGCTTTGTCCCTAATATCATTAAACCTGTAGTAAAGCACATTGCGTTTTGACAAATAACTATTTTACAAAATATTTCTCTAAAAATGTATAATATTAAAAATATATAGACCTATAATTCACGTGTAACGGGTACCGACGGCTAGTATATATATAAATGGCTAATATCTTTTCTAACCGCTCTTCCATCTTCCTCCCTGCTGCCTTGTAGTTTGTTTTTTGCTATGGAAGCAAATCCAAAAAGAAAGCCAGGCTCAAATCGGAGTCTGTTGTCACAATGGCGAATAATCAGTTGACACGTATAGTTAAAATTAAGAACGAAGAAAAGGATGAAGAGACGTACCTACTTTTACCCATACTATACACTTACCTACTGTATCCATATGATACGCTTACCTACTGTATCCATATGACACACCTTCTGTATCCGTACGACACACCAAATGTATCCATATGACACACCTACTTACTGTATCCATATGACACACCTACTGTATCCATATGACACACTTACCTACTGTATCCATATAACACAATTACCTACTGTATCCATATGACACACTTATCTACTGTATCCATATAACACAATTACCTACTGTATCCATATGACACACCTACTGTATCCATATGACACACCTACTTACTGTATCCATATGACACACTTACCTACTGTATCCATATGACACACTTACCTACTGTATCCATATGACAGACTTACCTACTGTATCCATATGACACACTTACCTACTGTATCCATATGATACACTTACCTACTGTATCCATATGATACACTTACCTACTGTATCCATATGACACACCTTCTGTATCCGTACGACACACCAAATGTATCCATATGACACACCTACTGTATCCATATGACACACTTACCTACTGTATCCATATAACACAATTACCTACTGTATCCATATGACACACTTATCTACTGTATCCATATAACACAATTACCTACTGTATCCATATGACACACCTACTGTATCCATATGACACACCTACTTACTGTATCCATATGACACACTTACCTACTGTATCCATATGACACACTTACCTACTGTATCCATATGACAGACTTACCTACTGTATCCATATGACACACTTACCTACTGTATCCATATGATACACTTACCTACTGTATCCATATGATACACTTACCTACTGTATCCATATGATACGCTTACCTACTGTATCCATATGACACACATACCTTATGTATCCATATGATACACTTACCTACTGTATCCATATAACACAATTACCTACTGTATCCATATGACACACCTACTGTATCCATATGACACACCTACTTACTGTATCCATATGACACGATTACCTATTGTATCCATATGACACACTTAACTACTGTATCCACATGACACACTTACCTACTGCACCCATAATACACATTTGACTCTTGCACCTATTAATAGACTTACATGTATATTGTACCAATTAGACACAGTGACCAATATATCAATCACACATACTTGCCTACTGCACTCATATTACACACACCTACGTGTAGCACCCATCAGATACATATACCTGAAACAGTCTTTAGCCACACCTCATACACCTATGAGTCACATCCACCTGATATCTGACATTTCTATCTTATACTGAAATTACACGTTTTCTCAATCTACATAAGAAATTTGAAAAAAAAAATTACATTTAGACTGGTGTCAACGACAGCAACTTTGCGCTAACAAAGAAGTTCCGTATAAATGCTTGCATTAATCATTTAATCTTATAAGTAAATCAATGACTAAAAAACGAAAAGAATCAACTCAGTTCAGAGGACGAAACAATTTTATTGGATTTAATTCAACTCATCCAAGTAGCATTTTAGCTTTCTTAAGGGGACAGTATCAATTAGACTAAGGGAGAGAAACAAACAAAATCGCCAAAAACAAATTATCAGCCATAAAGCCAACAACATTTTACTGCAGTAATTATGATTTACTAGCTATAATGCAGCATATAATTGTAGGCGTATGGATAAATTAAAATAGTTCAAAAAAATTTAACACATATTTTATATATATTTGTAACTCATTTGTAAACAACTTTTTCAGCAATAAGCCAGTTCCCACAATTTTTAGCACACCAAAATCAAGTAGCTTATTTCTAAAACAAGCCAGAAAATTTTCGTTTATTCTCAATAAATCTACAGATTAAACACGATATTTAAAATATTGATTTCTAATAGTATTATCGGTAGTTAGAACTACAACCATATTCTAATACAAATTTGTATTTAATACAAATTTTATAAATTTTAATGAGCATTATCTTATTCTGGTCAGACTGGAAATTTTTTTTATCATAATGCAATTCTTTTAGTTCCGTCTATAGTTAATAACGTTAGACCTCTTTTTACCAATTAGCAGAAGAATCTGTTTGGATTATAGGACATTCTAAATTTAAAACCTAAATATTTAACATTTTTTGGGTCAAATAATTTTTTATTTTTTTAAATTTTTTTGCATCAGACATAGACCCTCATTTTTGCGGTTTTATAGTTGTTTGACCATAATCACCATGGTAAAAAATGTATGGGTGTATGTATAATTGTTTCTTTTTTTTTTTTTTGGCGAAGTTTTTTGTAAATTTTCCGTTGTCATGTTGATACTTCCCCCTTAAGTTTAGGACACGTTCAAATCCTGTCACGTGGTTCATAATTCTTTACAATTTTTTTGTTCCGGCCCCCAATTTGCCAGCTCCACAGTCACCCCGTTTGAATGTCTCCTGGGGAAAAAAATATACCTATGACATAAAAAAATCAAGCCATATAAAAACACGACAGTTTGAGACATCAATTTCTAAATTTCTTACCAACCAAATCATGTACTATGATAAGCAGGAGAGCGGACATTTCGAAAATGAAAACACTGGTAAATCTGCAGTTAGACCAGTGGCGTAGCTAGGTCGGGTGACGCCCGGTGCGGCAATTAATGATAAAAAATTATATATATATATATATATATATATATATATATATATATATATATATATATATATATATATATATATACGCATAAACTGAGCTTACTGCCTAGCATCGCTTAGGTTTTCAAAAGCTTTTGAGAATTTGAATGATTAATTAATTGATGAATGGCTGTCATGTGTGGTGCTTAGGGCCTATACTTAAACAGTTTAAGTAATTTCATGTCAAACAAGCTATAGTGGAGTATTCGCAAACTTAGTACTTGCAAGGTTATTATAACTGCAAAGGCTTTCTTAATAGTATAAATAAAATATTATATTGAATTTACTTTCGCAATTAATTTTTACAATTCATTACATAACTTAATTTATAACAAAATATTGATTTAAATAAATGCTATGCTTTGTGATTTTGTTTATTTTTAATAGTATAAAAATATTTTAAAACTATTACTTTCAAAAGTTAACTCCCCTGTATTTTTTTTTACCTCCCCCCCCTCCCTAACTCCATACATGGATTAACACATAACTTATTTCGATTCTCAACCAAACCGTTTACCTCAAACATACTTTGCAACGTTGAGTTAATGTAACTTCTCCAAATTCACCCCTTCCCCCCCCCCTTCACGCACACACACGGCGATTGCTTTAAAATGTGCTCAGATATCATACTAACGATCTATATCTATAGTCGGTTATAAATACAGCTTGATGTAGCATGTTTTCTCTATCATTAGCAGGTTTACGTCATGGTGTCACCACCACCCCCCTCCCCGCTCCACCCTTGTCGGGATTTGTCAAATTTGCTCTTAAAAGACTATTTAACACTCTAATTAATCACATAATTAAGTGGAATTTTCATTTTCTGTATATATTTTGCTATTTTTTTTTTGCCTTTGTGTCGCCCACCTAAATGGGGTCAACGGTGCGGTCTGCACCCCCGTCCCATGTCACCCCCACCCCCCTCCTCGCTACGCCTCTGAGTTAGACTAATTATTTTAATGAACAGTAACTGTACAAGAATGAATACCACATTCAACAGTGCCATCGTGATAATACACTGAGCCCACACATTTACACTCTTTAAACGTTGCGTCTGTGACTGTCTCGCGGAAGGAGTCACCAGCGAAGCGACATTGATTGTTGCTGTCACGGCATCCTGTATATTGATAAGACAAGTGTAGGTAACGTTTAAGGTTTACTAATTTTTGCATAAAATGTTTTCAATTTTCAAGCCTTAGCAACTGTTGCTTGAGTGTATTACATATGGTTTGTAAATCGGGTTAAATATACCTTAGAATATGTTAAATGTATAGGTAGCACATACGAAAGGATGAATGTATCAGCGGACCAATGTTACTTATAGACGTTATCACACATATATTTTAGAACTCTGTACCGTCGTGTTGGTTTTTCATCGCGTTAACTAAAAAGCACATTCTAATTTCTATTGAACGCCTTAAAACATACCGATAGTGACGGTTTCCTTTGAATAAGAGTATTTCGCTTCTTTGTTCTGCACGCACACTAAAATAGAACATTTCACTTGAAACTGTTCTCCTACTTTGTAGCATTTCCCATCTAAATTACAGCCTGTGTGATTGATGATAGAATATAAAATACACCTGTAATGGATTAAACAAAGTATATATATGGTGCTCTAATGCTTTGTGTCATCCGTAAGCATGGGGTGTCAGATGCCACCAGTGTTGTATTTTAACTTGAATCAAGTACGGAAAAAACATAATTTTGCAATCTTGTCCGTTTGTCTGTGTGTCTGTGTGTCTGTGTGTCTGTAAACACGATAACTTGAGTACCGTTACAGGTAGGTTGATGAAATTTCATACATAAGTATTTTATCAAAATCGTAGATCCGTATTAACTTTTGAGCGATTTCCGATAACCGAAAGTGGTACACAACACAACGACAACACAACCACAACACATCCACAAGACAACCACAATACAACCACAACACAACCACAACCACAACACAACCACAACACAAACACAACCACAACCACAACACAACCATAACACAATCACAACAGAACCACAACACAAACACAACACAGCCATAACACAACCACAACACAACCGAAAAACACGGATCTGGTAAAAGTGCCGATTACGGATGAAGAAAGTTCGTATCCTGTTAAATTTCCGTTTCTGCCTAAATTTCCCTATAAATCCGGTAAAATTTCCGGACTCAGGTTATAGTACCCATTCTGGGGGAAAAAAAAGACATTTTCCTACCGGTTAGATTTGAGGATGTGGAGATTTGTATTATGGTTTCGGTTTTTTAAAAAAAGGCAACACTATCAGCTTAGCGCCCGTTGTATTTCTCTCTCAACGGGCCATTTATCCTGTTTTAAACAATAGCTAACTGCAGGTTTATTTTTTAGCTAAATTATTTGTTTCAACTAAATTATTTTTTATTACATTTTTGTATTAGCTATTGCTTTTTCGTGTTCTTTAAATATTTCTTTTAACATAATAAAACTATATGTTAGATAACTGTATTGCTTACACAACTCTATACTGGTAATAGCAAATACAGAATTCACATACTTTACCTGTTTCAAAAGCTATGATTCTGATTGCTAAAATAAATGTTTTTTCTATAGCTGAAGTTTGGTCATTCATCTTTTGGAAGCAGTTTTGCTCTTTTCCACAGTATTTTCTATTGTTTTAACTAAATTTAGAAATTTAAGTATACGTTCGTTAAGTACATCTGTACCTGCCAATTATCTTGACTCTTATTAACGATTTTAAAGTTGTGTGAGAATTTATTCAACTTGATCTCCTTGCCCCTCCCGTCAGTGGCGGAACTAGAAAAAAAGGGCCACCCCGAAAAAAAAATTTTTAGGCCCCACCCCCATATATAGGCCTATATATATATATATATATATATATATATATATATATATATATATATATATATATATATATATATATATATATATATATAATACAAACTTAAAATACGACCATACGATACTCATTGCTGGCCTGTTCGGAATTTGAAAAAAAAATGTTTTTTTTTCACTTAAAACAAATTGCAACATCATGTCATGAGTGTAAGTGCATTAGTCTCTTTTGTGAAAATCAGTTTGATTTTTATCTCAGCTATTAACCCTCTAAACATCTAGTCGGTCACCAGAATATAAATCGTGAAAGCTTTGTATAAGTAATGGTATCTCGTGTTATGTTTATTTTTATGTTTTTTGTATTTATATTTTTCATTTTGACTCTATTTCCTTACTATACAATGTCATTCTTTAGTAAGTACTTCATAAAAAATAATAGTTTTTAATTTGTTTAGTGCAAATTTATTAAAAGGACGAGATAAATGGCCCGTTGAGGAAGGATACAACGGGCGCTAGGTTGATAGTGTTGTCTCTTTTCTTTAAACCAAAAAAAAATGCAACCACCTTTACCTCATATTGAACCGAAAACGAAAAATGACATCGAAAACGGATTTTTATCCAGAATCGAAATTTTAATCTGATTTAAGCTTGATCTACACGTAGTTATCGCGCATTCATACAAAATATAGTCGTAGGCATATCCCTAAACCATGCACCTAATCTCATTCATGACAAAAGTCGCATTTACAGCTTCTTTCGGGCAACTCTACTTGGGATTAAGGGCCTCCGCCCCCCCCCCCCCCCTCACCCTAAAACATGTCTACCGTCCCATTCAACGAAATATAATTATATACTTTTTTCAGTGTCTGCCCCCTCCCAGAAAATTCAACCCCCGCCCCCGAAAAATTCAAGTACTTCCACCCCTCCCCGAAGAGGAAAACGTCTGAAAGAAAAACTGGTCGCATTTGTAGTTCATACAAACTAAAGGAGGAACCCGGGAGGGGCTTCGCCCTACCGGAAGAGATGCATGAAAGAAACTGTGCACGCAAAACACTTCCCAGATTATACACATTAATTATGACTTAATGTCAGTCTTTTTTATTATAGAGTATCGATGACGTCATTTCTTTTGAGTTGGGGGGGGGGGCGGCGGCTTAGACGTTCTTACGCGGGAGTGGGGTTTCGCCCCTACCCGAAAAAGTGCATGAAAGAAACACTTCTAAGATTAAACAAAATTGGCTTTTTAATTCATTGTTTACTCGAGAATCAATGACGTCATATTATTGTGTGCACTCTCCGGCTCTAGACTATGTTTTACTACATGCTCCATGTGACGTCACGTTTCGTTTTCGTTTTACTATGCGACTTTTTTTTTGCTTGTGTTTTTTCTATAGCTTTCTTGTCAGATAGATAGATAGGCACACAGACGGCGAAACTATTATTATAGATCTGATCTTATGAGCACCCCTATTTGACTATTTAAAAAAGGGAAATAAGTCACACAAGTGGTTTGAACGTTTGCTTATCTTTGATAAGTTTGATTATAGGAGAAAGAGGACTTGTCTTTCACAGTAGTTTAAAAACAAAGGGAAAAAGAATATACAAGAGTGTGGGTTGGTGTCTATAGAATAAAGATAATTTAACCGCAGCTACTGTAATCTTTTTTTACAAAACAACCATCAAGTAAATAATAAGTAAGGCGGTGAAAGCAAATCTAGAATAAAAAGCGAGCTGAAGTCTGGACTGCTAACCCGTAAGTCTTGAGTTCAAGTCAGTAGACCGTCCCTGAATTCACCCAGCTCTGATAGGAACCTAACTCACCTTAAGGTAAGTAAAGGCAACTGGGCGTAGTGCTGACTACACTATCCCGTCATATGCCAAGGTCACATAAACAAGTGAACTGTACTTCACTTGCCCCATAAACCGACAGGTTTGATAGAAAACTTTACTATAATATGGCGTATAACAAGTTGACATGTAATACTTAATTGCACTGCATTGGAAGAAATCCCGTCCAACATTACAATTAAGAACGAAAAAGAACAGCATAGAGATTTAAATAATAGATTACGTAATTAAAATTACATAAATAAAGTGTTAAGTTTAAATCTATGTCTATAAACACTTTAATTAATCACTTATAATATTTTGAATAAATAACATTTATGTAGTCAGCTTTAATTCTTCGCTAAAAACGCAATGACAAATGATGTTGACTTCAATGTGAAAGTAAAAACATGAAAGCTGGCTCAACAGCTGAGAAGGAACTTACCGGGATTTGCCGGTCTGAAACCTCCGTTGTCACATATTGCATCACTACAATTATTGACTGCAGACATGGGCCTATACACGTCGCCGTGTTTGTATGTGACACCCAAATAGTAACACGTTCTTTGTCCTGAAATAGCAACTCTGGTTTATTACTTTCTCGTATACAGAGTATAGACGAAGTATTGTAATCGTGCACATAAATCACATGACATTTTACAGTTTTCACCGTTTCACACCTCAGTAATTCATCACATACGGCCTTCGGAGTCTAGGGGACTGATTTTAATCGAGCAAAAATTATAAATCTAGATTTATCAAAATTTCGCCTTTTATGCGTAATCGAGTCGGAAAAACTGGGCTTTGCAATTCTGTCAAAGTCTCTCTCTCTCTCTCTCTCTCTCTCTCTCTCTGTGTGTGTGTGTGTGTGTATGTGTGAGTGCGTGCGTGCGTGTGTGCGTGCGTCGTGCGTGCGTGCGTGTGTGTGTGCGTGTGCGCGTGTGTGTGTGTAAACACAAGAACTTAAGTACCCATACAGAAGTTTCATATAAAGTTTATATATCAGCGATTTCCGATAACCGGAAGTGGGACTTATTCTATTTTATTTTTAAAAGTTTAAGTAATTAAAAATGGATAAAAATCATGTCTATATCCCGAGTTGCCATCCCCCTTATAATAGTCTATGTGCACTCTTCTGTTTCTCTCTCTCTCTCTGTGCTCTGTGTGTCCGCCAAATATTTTCACAGGCTATAATATCATTATCTTCGCGATATATTGAGAACTTGTTACGGAATTTTGTTGTTAATAATATGTAGGATGTTTTAAATGTATAAACTAAATTTTATTTAAAGAAGGAAAATAAGAATAAAGGCATATTCGAATGTAGAAACAAATTATAATTATACAACTGGAAAAGTGTTATAGTTGTTACAAGAACGCAATACAATGACCTCACATGCCAGATGTTTACACTATGGAAATAACACAACACTAATGGCGTCATTTTCGATTTTAGAATATAAAGAAAGGAGCTATTTTATTTAAATTTGATTTAGATTTAGATCTATATATCTACTTATAAAGACTGCGCTATGAAACATATACAATTTTCTCGGTCAAACTAATACAAATTACTTATTAAAAAACATAATGGCCATTGAATAGCCGGGTTTTTAACGGAATCATTTAAGTCTCTTAATCAGTGTGTGCATTTAATATGGTGTTCTGTTGACTAATAATGTATATAATTTGGTTTTAATATTTCTATTTGGTATTGGTACCAATGTTTTTTAAACGTGTCGGATTTTTAGCTATTTAGTTATTTCTTTGCTTTGTCACTGATATTGCCCAACGTGTAGCAAAACACATTGCGTTTTCGCCAATAACTATTTTATAAAATAGTTTTCTCAAACATGTATAACATTAATATATATAGGCCTATAATTCACGTGTAAGATGTACCGACGTCTAGTACAAAATATTCGAGAAAGTTTAGGGGAGATTACTCCCGGTTTATTTTTTTAATAAAAATAATATTCATACGACACTAAAAAAAACAGACCATATCTAGACGTGCTTCTTTTTAGCCATGAAGATATAAATTTCTTACCATCTGCTACCGTAATAAGCTGAATAGCAAAAATGCCAAGAATACAAAGATTGGAAACCTGCTGATAGAGTTAAGTAAATGTAGATAAATGTTTAAACTGCAATTAATTTTAACCTATTGTTCAGTTCATATCGTAGTGGAATGGCCACCAATTTATAACATGAAATCGTAAGATTTTAACAAGAATGATATATTTGATGCAAGTAACATAGAATTTTCAAGAACGATATATTAGACATGACATAATAATATAATTAACATAGAGTAGAAAATTATTTTAAAAGTACAGTGCATAGAATTGACCAACGAGTGTAATATATCTCATTTATCTTTTAAGTAGAGATGTCAAACTAATTTTTTAAACAGTTCCAGAGCTTTATGCTATGTCAAGTACTCACGATTCTTAGTGGGTACTAAATTTGTTCAAATATCTCAAGTAGTAAAAAAAATTATGACGTTTTAAAAAGTTGGGTTTTAACTTTTTTTTCTAAACAACCTAAAATGTACCATGTTTGAAAAGTTATATCTGTAAAAGTATATGTCACAAACACAATCTTTTAAATTTATCTTAAAGATATTTTTCATACCATATTATAATAGCCACTTAACAAAATATTATTAAAAATTTGAATATTCTTGGTGGCTTTCTTATTAAAATCAAACAAAATTTTACGTACCATTCTCTTTCTGGATAAACAGAAACACCAGCTGAAATGAATAAAGAAGAAGAACTGAACTAACGTAAAGAGTGCCACGTTTCAAAGCCAAACACTCATGTCGTGATCTGTATCAGTGGCGTAGCTAGGGGAAGGGGGGTGGGGCGCTAAAAATAGTTTCTGGTAAAAAAGCGCCACAAGATTTGTCAACTGCTATGAGGTGTGGGGTGAAAGGAGGGGGGGGGGGTTACTAACATAATTAATAAATATAATATCAATGTGGAAGGGCACAAAATTGATATTTCCTCCCCGGCGCCGGAATGGGTCGCTACGCCTCTGATCAGTATACTTCTTTACAGATAACGCATTTGTGAGGACAATTTTAAAAACAATGAATTGGTAGCAGCAGTAAGGATCAAAAGAAATATTTATATTTTTTTAAAAAAACAAACGACACTTGTGTGGAGTGAGTGTCGTGTGGAAGGGGGTGTCGTGAGGAGTGGGGTGTCGTGAGGGGTGGGGTGTCGTGAGGGGTGGGGTGTCGTGAGTAGTCGGGTGTCGTGTGGAGTGAGTGTCGTCTGGAGTGGAGTGTCGTATAGAGTGAGGTGTTGTGTGGAGCTGGGTGTCGTGCTTAGGGATATGGAGCGGGGTGGTGTGGGATTTGGTCTACAACGTGTGTTTTGTGTTAATGTGTGATGGGGTGGAGTGATTTATGGGGAGGGGGTTTTTTGTGTAGGATGATTTATATATATATAGGCAGTGGCGGAACAAGAAAAAAAGTGCCATCCCGCAAAATATTTTCTTACCATCTGCTACCGTAATATATATATATATATATATATATATATATATATATATATATATATATATATATATATATATATATATATGTATATATATATATATATATATATGTATATATATATATATATATGGGGGCCTAAGAAAATATTTTGCGGGATGGCACTTTTTTTCTTGTTCCGCCACTGCCTACTAATGAACGATAAAACCCATTCTCTGGCCCTAGACTATCTTTAATTATAGGTTTCTATGAGACTTAGAAATTGAAACTTTTTCTGAATTAACTGAAGAAAGATGGCGGGGATATGTCATGTATTAGGTACAGCAATGACGCTCGATTACTCACCTGAAAGTGGGTTGCGAAGGTTGAGGGAGATTTAGATACACACAGCAAAAATCTACTGACAGGAGCAGAGAAAGTTGCAAAAGACTGGATTTTTCTGGCGGTCCCATTTTCCCTGGTCGTCAATGGTAGAAGATGATAAATTTACACTACTAATTTAGATACTATACTATTACCATTCTGATAAAAATCATGCAAAAATACATTTTTTTTTTTAAAATGTGTACACCAAAAAACTCAAGTTGGCCGTCTTTGAATCAATAGATTCCTCGTGTGTTGCATTTCGATGTATTAAGTGCAAAAAAAAATTATCTTTTAAAATTCTGAATAAATTTGGAAACTGCAGGAATTCACCTCCTCATTTTTATATCTGTCTCAGTTTAACACAAAGAAGGAGCAATAAAAAATTTTGTTTTAATATTTGTGTATTTTTACAAATTTTTAATCATCTTGCTTACACTGTCTGTCTGTATGGGAAAAAACGTGGGCGAGCCACTGGGGGCGGTTTTTCACTAAGCCACCCATTTACTTTTCATTTGGATCCGCCTATGTATGTCAAGATTAACACTAAAAAGATACCAATGGTAGTGAGACACGTATCATTTATCGACCGGCTAGACCTTTGTAATATTTGCTCATTTCGAAATTTTCTCGTTGTGGAATTTTAATTAATTAGTAGTTTAATTAAATCTGTGGATTAATTGTAAAATGTTCTATTCAATGTTATATCCTAAATTACTTGTTACACGGAAGATTTATTAAATGTAATTTGCAAATAAAGAAGTCGACGGCCATTTTATGTAGGTTATAATGTGACGTAGTGGACGGCCATTATAGCCAGGTCACTGGTGACGTAGTAGACGGTCGTCGTTGCTAGTTTTAACAGTGACGTAGTAGACGACCGATATTTCTAGTTTAAAAAGTGCCGTAATGGACGGTTCACTGTAGGATTAGTTTACGGCTGTTATAGCTATTCAATTAAGTGACCAAGTAGACGGCTGTTATAGCTATTCTATTATAGGTATTCTAACAAGTGCCGTAATATAATTATGACTGCTATACCTATAGGTTATCAAATAAATAAAGAACAAACCATCTAATAATTCAGTGAAATATTGAACAAGTGATTAATGAGTTTTGTAAAAATTAGTATTGCTTGTAAATCTTTGAAAATAATATTTGTTTTGTTAGATGTGCAATAACAGTAAAACGTTTGTTATAATAAAACATAATTTAATAAATTCCAGTGCAGTGTTATTACTAAATTTCAATATTTTTTTAATAACTGAACTCCGTTTGGCATTTAGCTACATTGCTAATGAGCAAGTGAATATTAAATATAAACCAGTGGTGCGACACTTTGTGGTGTGTCCCCTCCCCCCACCCAGGAAACAAAGTTTATATATATATATATATATATATATATATATATATATATATATATATA